TTTAATTTTCTGTCAGCATATATAAACACGCAGCAGGGGGGTGCCTTAGCGGACGCTACAGAAAACAAATAAAACCCGATGCCAATAACCCTGTGACCAAGCCACCTGCATCGTCCCACGGGCAGCTCTGGCTGCTGCCAGCAGAGGTGGGGGGCAGAGAAGTGGGGCGATGGGGGATGGGTTATGTTTGGGGGATGGCGGTAGCCCCAAGACACCCAACATGTCCCCGTGAGGCTGGTTTATTTGGTGCCATCTGGTGGCAAATGGACCAGAGGTTCCTGTCCCCAGGAGGTGGTTGGAGGGCAGCAGCCCAGTTTCGGGGGCAGCTGGGTCTGGTCCCCGAGGTGGGAAAGGCCAGATGAGGTTTGCAAAGCTTCACGTGGCTAGAGGATGTCCATTGCTCCCCCCTTCCTCAACAAGCACCCATGGGATGGGGGGTGCGATGGGGAGTGGGTGGGGACCCCCTGGGTGATGCCCAACCATCCCGAGCTGATCCTGTCCTTCCCCCACCAAGGATGTGCTGGGACGGATGATGGTGGTTTGTCATCCTGCCCGGTGCTGGGCAACCTGTCCAGCCCTGCCGGCGCTGGGGCTTTTGCCCTCTTTTGCAGCAGCAAGTGGAAAATAAATGAGGTCAAACCTGTGTGGCAAATCCCGGCCAGCCCAGGACCCTCCAGCCCCCTCGGGGCTCCCCCCATGGACCAGCACACAGGTCTGCAATGGTGACATGATGGGGACACTGGTGGAGGAGACGGGATGGGAGGATTTGCCCCGGGCACATCGCGTCACAGCATGGGCGTGCACGGCCGTGGGTGGTGGGGAGCAGCGACCGTGGGGCTCCACATCCAGGTCGTGGGGCTCCGTGTCCACGCTGAAGCCCTGGGGAAGCTCCCCAGCAACTGCCCTCCAGCCACCAGCGCTCCCATTAATCCCAGCTGGGATTGCTGAAAGTTTACATTTTTTTTGCTACATTTAGTAGGTTAATTTATTTAGAAACCTCTTAATTTTTTTTTTTTTTTTTTTTTTTGCAAGTTGAGAATGCTCATTTAGCGAGGGCTGGAAATTACCGATTGTGTTACCTCCATCCCACCCTACAGCAAAGAACTGGGGTGTCCCCAGCCCTTGCCAACCAGATCATGCTTGATTTGAGGCTCTGTGGAAGGAAACGGTCTGTGAAGGGCGATTCCAAGGAAGAGGAGACCACAGTGGCCGGAGGATGGCTTGGGGAAGATGGTGCTCAAAGCACCAGTGGTGTGAGACCTCCTGGAAGGGGGAATTGGTATTTTTTTGTGACCAGCTTTCAAAGTGAGATGCTTCCACCTCCTCATGCTTGTGGACCCACAGAGCATCCCCCAGAGGTGTGAGCCCAAGCGGCTGCATGTGACAGGGTGACGCAGAGCACAGGGGACAGTGGCTGCCATGCTGCCACTCCGTATCCGGGGTTTGTCTTCGTGTGCAAGGACAAACTGGTTTTTGGACTGGTTTTTGTACCCCTCAGGAGCCAGCAGTGATGACGGGGGGGAAGCATTGCCTCAGTCCTGCTTGCTTCATCTTCCACGAGTCTTGGGCAAGGTTGCTGCCTCCTGCCTGTGTTTCCTCATTTTGGGAATCTCTCCAGCTCTAGTTTGTCGCTGGGGAAGGGGGATGGCACCATCACCTCGCTGTCCTCCCCCAGTTATCGGAGGGCAGCTCAGCGAGTCGTTGCTGCCGGGTTGTATCACAGCACAGCTCATCTGGGCCTGATCCATCACCGTCCCAGCGATGTTCATGTCGGTGGCAGAGGGTGCCGGTCCCTCCTGGTCCCCAGGGGATTGACCCTGGACCACTGACCTTAGTCCGAAGCAAAGCTGGAGGAGCCCACCCTCTGCCTGACCAGAGGAGGGGGCTGGGCTCCTGACCTTGGGTTTGGTTTAGGGTGAAGGTTTAGGTGAGGGTTTCCAGTAAAATTCCAGGCTTACAGTAAGAGAGGGGCTCAAGAGCTTCCAAAGCGAGGGGCTGGTGGTGAAGTTATCTGCTGAGCATCCTCAGGGGGGTGTCTTGGCACACATCTCAGGCTGGGGGTTGGGTTTGGCAAGGTGGCTCTTACTGGGGACACCAGTGACCATCTCCACCAGAACTTTCCAATCCCCTGATCCCTCCTGAGCCCTGGTTTTCTGTGGTGCACGTGTGAATCGTTTATGTGTCATCACCAAGCACTCCAAGACAGGGAGCAGAAACTGGTCCTGGACTGTCACTTGTCCCCAGAGACGGTGGTCCTCACCCCACCTCCTTGGTGAGAAGAGGTGGCATCTCCAGTCAAGGGTCATTTCTACCTGTGAAAGGCATCTCTGGGCAGTGTCCTGGGGACAGCACAGCCTTTCTCAGCCCCTCAAGGCCATCCCCATCCTTCAAGGCCAGCCGGGATGAGGCTTTGGGCAACCTGGGCTAGTGGGAGGTGTCCCTGCCCATGGCAGGGGGTGGCACTGGGTGGGCTTTAAGCTCCCTTCCAACCCAAAACATTCTATGAGTCTATGATCCACCAGCGCTGGGCTTGCTCTAGGCTTGCAGTGGGCATCCCACTGATGCTCAGACCTTCTCTCCATGTGACAGATGTGCTGGGGGACTTAAAAAGGGACACACCAGGGTGACAGGCTGCCTGTCCCTCCCTGCAGCTGAGCCCCCAGCCCATGCCCTGTCCTGCAACACTGTACGAGCTGCATTGGGGCTCTGGGTTGCACTGGAGGGCAGCTAATGACACCCCCAAAGGGGCTCAGGCTGCTATGGGGGGAACCGGAGGATGTCCGGAGCAGGTCCCCTGTGTCCCCTTGTCCCACCGCTGGCAGAAGGTTTTCTTACACTGCTCAGCCCTTCACCCCAGCGCTTGAATCCTTCCTGCAGAGGAGAACAATATTAGCACCAGTGAGATGGGTACCCGGGCTCTGCTCAGAGCAAGGCAGGCTCTGCCAGAAGCAGGGGGTAATCAGCACGGTAATTAAATGTGCAAATAATGGGGATTTGGGAGTTATAACAAAAGGCAAAGAAAGAACCCAGAGGGGCCTGGAGAAATTAGGAACACAGAGCAAAATCTAATCAAGCAGAAAATAGCCCGACTGGAGCCAAGGGCTGGAGGCGAAGGCAGGCAGGCTTGGAGTGCTCCTCCCTTGGCATCTGGGGGTGTCTCTGGTGCCATTTTGGGGCAGAACAAGAGTTTTTGGAGATATCTGTTCCTGCTTGGTGAGGAGGGCTGGCTGCAGGCTGAGTCCCTGGGAGAAGTTCCCAGATCTGCGCTGCTGGTGGACGGTGGATTTTGGATGTGATATTGATGGAAATAAACATGCAGAAGAGCAGCCTGGGGAAATGCAGCTGATTGAGGTGGAGGAAAGATACCTGAGGCCAGTGGGAAGCTGGGCTGTTTTGGGAGACAAAGTGGTTTTTAATTGCAATGGGTTTACTGGGGCTTAAATATTTGTGCAGACGTACCATTCCCAGCTGTGGTGTTTCCCTGGGATGAGCCTGGGCACACAGAGCTCTCTGGCCAGGGGGAGATAAATGGAAAATGTGAGCTGGATTTGGTCTGCTGGACACAAATCCCCTTGTGAGCATCCTGGGAGGGACTCACGCCAGGGGAGAGCAGCAGGCTGGAGCCAGGCTCTGGTGCAATAGATTCATGCTGAGCCTCGCCTGGGTTTCCGTGGGGGGATGCGGTGGCTCATCATTGCATCTCCAGGGATGTGTCCATGAGGATGGGAGCCAGAAACAGGGGAGCCAGTGCTCCTGGGCACCATGGGGACCAGACCTCAGGTGGCACTGGCAGGGCTGAGTGACATCCCCGGCCACTGTGCCTTGGTCATGTGTGGGGGGGATGTTGTGTCTAAGGACCTGCAGGGGACATCCCAGGGGGTGGAAGGACCTTCTCCCTCCACCAGCAGAGACCCCAACCCTGTGGTGCACAGGCACAGATGCCTCCATCCAACGGCAGGAGATCTGATCCCAGCCGGGCATCCGAAACTCTCCCGGACTCTCGCCCAGACCCATCTCCCAAGCTCCCAAGCACCTTGCCAGATTTGCTCTGACATCCCAGAGCCCCCCCAGGTGCTCGGCTCAGTCCCCCAGGGACGTGCTGCAGCTGCCTCCCAGCCCTGCCAGCACTTGAAAGGACCTTTCAATAAATCCCAATTAAAGAGGCGGTGTGGTGAGGAGCCAGCCGCTCCGATGGGAAAGCACATCCCGCCAGCCCCCACCCCATCCCTGTTTTCCCATTCCTCTGTGTTCCACCCCGGGGAGGCGACCTGGCAGCGGGCTGGAAGCCAACGCAAGGCAATGGCCGTTAAACTGGAAAGAAAAGGCTGGTAAAGTGGGGATCACCTCTGGCTTGGGATGTCCCAGTGCCCCAGATTGACAAAGCTCAGGAGAAGGGAGCAGGGAGCTCTCAGTGCAGGTTTTCCCTCTTTTCCCCCAGCTGAGCGAGCTTTGCTCTGTCCCGGGGCGGCTGGTTTGGGCTCAGTGTCAGTGCTCCTTCTCCCAGTGCAGAAATCCAGCCCCAGCGACTGGGAAACAGCGGCACCGAGAGCACGGACCTGTCTCCCACCACCCACGATGGATGGGACCTGCGGACCCCAAGGGGTGCTGGGAGCTGGGATTTTAGGGAAGCTCCCAAAGCCACAAGCTGTGAGATGCTGCCAGTGGGGCTGAGCAGCCCCTGCACTGGGACCAGTTCTCCCCTCCCACTGGGACCAGTAGCAGTGCTTGGATAAACCTGCAGCCCCCTGCTCCCAGCTTGGTCCCTGCAGGGAACATTATCCTGCAAACTCAGAAATGCCATCAGGGGGGCACAAGCACCCCTGTCCCCATGTTTTGCTGGGGAGGGGTGGGTTATCCTGGGGATACGCTGCAGGGAAAACCAGCCCAGGGACCAGCTCGCCCGCCAGCCAAACCTCCGGGGAGGGTTTGTTTCTCCCCAGCAGCTATAGCAACGAGCCCTGCCACAGCTCTGCCCTCCCATTGTCGTGTCTGCCCGAGCCATGGAGGTGGGGACAGCAGGGGACCCCCTTGGGGTCTGGGGGGACACCCCAGCAGGGACCTACATCATCCCACAGAGGGTAAGCCCTGGAGAAGAGCTCTGTCCCTGGATTTATGGGATAGTCAGGGCTCACGAGGGTGGGGGGAAATGGGATGGGCGGGGGAGGAAGGGGGCTGAGGTTGGGGTTCTGGGTGGGATCTGGGGCAGCGAAGCCAATCTGCAATATGGCTCTTTGCAAAACACCTCCCTGCATACTGTGGGTCCCTGGGAAGGCCACTTCTGCAGGGGACATGTCCACAGGGCTGGGGACTTACCAGGAGTGTCATTCATCCAGGCTGCAGGGCTGCACCCCAGGAAAGATGGGGGTCAGTGCAAGCCACCCCCTCCTCTGAGGCTCCCATCCCAGCTCCCCTGGGGCCAGCGATGCTCTGGTCCCACCAACAGCTCCCCTCCCCTCTGCTCCCACCACCAGCTCTGCTCCCCTCTCCATCCCGCCAACAGGGCACTAAATTAAACCAAGACTGGGGGATCCTGGGGTTTTCCTTCCCCTCCTGCCTTCCAGCTCCGACCTGAGCCATCTCTCCACGGGGCCGTGCCGGTACCCCAGCAGCCGGTGATGATCCTCCAGCAGCTTCCTGGGACCGTGGCCGCCCCCGCTGGACCCCCACAAATCCGGGGAGGTGCGTGACGGTAGATATAGCAGAGATCATCATTAAAACCAGCTTAACTTCATCCTTTTTCTTGTTTTTCCAAGCCTTTTCAGGATTTGGGGCAGGCAGGGGGGCTGTGCCCACCCTTGTCAGCCTTGCAGGACCACACTGAGCTTTGACGGCTGCTTTGCCCCATGGGGTGGGATTTTTGGTGGTTTTACCAACCCTGAAGGCTGGGCTGGCTCTGGCCACACCAGGATGCTCCCAGGGAATTTGAAATCTTTTTGCTCTCCAAACCCCCCGGGTGTAGGGAGCATCACCAGGGTGACCCTGGCTCCTTGGCCACGCTAAGTGGATCTGGAGGGGGACATGTGCCACCCCCAGAGTCCCCAGGACATGCTGTGGGCGATGCCATGCAAGGAGGGGGGAAGGTTAAGCTGCCTTTAAAAATACATAAAGGAAAGTGCATGTTCCAAATTGATGGGGGAAGAAAAGCAAGACCCCAGCCCGGCCCCTCGCAGCCCTGCAGTGGGGGCTGGCAGCTGTTCCAGTGGGATGGATGGGATCCGTGAAGAGCCGCCAGCCCTTTGCATGCCTCCTGCTCTGGGTTCAATGCCTGGCTGCTGGCCCACTCCCTCCTCCGGCTCCGGCTCCAGCCACCTCCCGGGATGTGCTGGGATGCTCCTTGCTGGAGGGTCGGCTGCCTTGTGGGTGCCCTGGGAGCCCGTCCCTGCAGCTGTGAAAGCATTTTGGGATCTGGCATTTGGGATGCAGGGATGCCCAAGTCCCTTTTTACCCCATGGCTCAGGTTAATGGGGGCTCATGGGTCTCGTGCACAAAGCCAGCAGGATCTCGGAGGCAGGTTTTCAGGCATTTTGCAGGGGAACTTCACACCTGCAGCAAATTAGGATGTTTTAATGGGGATGCAGAGCCAGACGTCATGCTTTTGCAGGCAGATTGCCCTCAGCAGCCGCACCGCAGCTTGGGCATCCATCCAAGGGGACCAGGACGCTAACGTGTCCGTGAACAGCCGTTCCAGGTCCCAGCTCCTGTGGAGCCAGGGAGGGGTTGCGGAGGCACCGAGCATCCCCATCCCACTCCTCTCCCGGACGCAGCTCCGTAGGTGCTTGCTCCTGGGAATGACGATGGGACAAGCCCCCATGGTCCACCCCCAGCTCCTGCCTCCTCGGGGGGTTCCTGAGCTCCCCAGTACGTGATGTGGTGCGGAGCGGAGCTGACCCTGGCGTGCTCCCCACGCGGTGCCACCCCCGGGACACCGGCTGTGCTGCCTGGTGCCAAGGCAGAGCTTGCCAAGCTGCAGAGCGCTGCCAGGATCACAGCGATTCTCCTCCAAATGGGCGGAAAGTCTGATGCCTCCAGCACCACTAATCACCTTTTGTGAGCAGCCTTCAGCAAGCCAGACCAGATGTTTAATCACATTTGCAAATAAGAAAAGGCTGAAATACAGCTATTTTAAAGCTTTAGCCAAGCAAAATGATTTTTAAGTGCCACATGGGCTTTCCAAATTGGGGTGGGGGAGTTTGGCTCAGCTCCCACCTCTTGGGCACAGGGACAAGCCTTGGTGCCGCCCCGTCATCCCACGGCTGTGTTTTTCGTGCCCTTGCTCTGATCTCTCTCTGACGCAGAGCCCCTTACTCTCCGGCAGATTTAATTGAGTTGATGATGATTCAAAACTCCCAAATGCACCAGGTGGTGATGAACAGCCTGGCTGTGTCAGCGCTGACATCCTTTGGGTTCGGGCCACCCCCTGCTGCTGCCCAGGTAAGGGTCAGGGATGCTGGGTGGGCAAAGGGACCATAGGACCAAAGAAGACCAAAAGGACCAAAGATGTGGACAAAGGGACCTTTCCAGAGCTGCTCAGGAGAGCGGGATGACCGTGTCCCGCTCTGGCACAGCGTGAGACCCCTCCAGGCGCAGAAGCTGGGTGGTCTCAGCCTGGCTCCGCAGCCCCGTGGGGTTTGGAGGCTCCTTGTGCCAGTTTGACCCCCAGCTCAGCCAGCACAGATGGCATCCAGGCTGTTTGACGGCCGATTTAGCCCAGCTGGGAAGAGCCAGGACCCTCCCTGCGTGCTGCAGCGTGGGCAGGGTGGAGCACGGGGCTGCGGTGGCGAGGCTGAGCGCTGTTCTAGCGATGATGGCTCTGCAAGGGCTTTCATCTAAAAGTCCATCTCGAACCAAAAATCATATTAAACATTTCATCTCCATGGGGGCAAACAAATGCTGCTTTCTCGGCTGGGGCGAGGGCTGGGCTGCAGGCAGCTGCCTCACTGCCAGCTGGCATCTCCAGATCCTCCCATACCACCCACCCAGTGCCCACCAGTTCACCATGCTGGCCCAGACTGGACCCTGCCCATCGCATCTCAGCAGCCAGATCAAAAGGGCTTTTCCCAGCAGCGTTTTGAGGTCCCATCTGTGGGGCTGCCACCTCCCCATGTCCCCAGCAGCTGAGTTCCCACCCTGGCTGACCACGGGGCTTTGGGTGGGATCGAGCCCACCCAGCTGGACCCTGGCAGAGCTGCGCCATGCCGGCAGCATCCCAGCCAAGCACAGCTCCGTGGGATCCCTCTTGCTGGTGCTCTGGGGATTGGTCCTCAGGGATTTGGCTGCTGAAAGGGGCTCGGCACAGCCCTGCCTTTTGTTCCTCCTCACAGGCGACAGCGATGCCTTTGCAGACTGGAGAGGAAGAGGAGGCTGTGGTTTTCCACCATCACTACGTCCCCTACCCCAGTCCTGCTCCTGTCCTGGTGTGGCCAGTGCCACTCCCCCAGCAGGATCGGGGACCGGCAGCCGTGCGGTACCTGGGCTCGTTATCCGAGGATGAGGAGGTGTGAGTAACGAGGGTGCTGCTTTGTGCCACCCACCCTGGGGCTGTGTGTGTCCCCCTGCATCCTCCCGTTGTAACAGGACCTCCATCCCAAGCTGGGACACAAGGGACAATGCTGGGGTAGCACTCACTCCTGTCCTTGCTCCTTTCCAACAGCACAGTGCCCCCCCCTCCGCCTTTTGCCCGTGGGAGCTGATGTCCCACCAGCATCAGGTAAGGACCAGCTCTACCCATGTCCCTCAATGGGGGACATCTTCCCTTCACGCTTGCATCAACCTCCCCACAGCAGCCCCTTGGCCAAGGGCTGAGCCCTCCCCACTCCCTCCATCCATCAGATCCCGTGGGGGGACGCTTGGACACCCCCCAGCTCCCCTTTTTTCTCTCTGCAGAGTACTACGATGTGGTGCAGAAGAGGCTGTGAGCTCCATGCTTCCCAAACTAGTTTCTCCTGCACATCCCAGCCCTCGATCCCAGAAGATTATGCA